CTCCAGAATCACGCCTGCCCGCTATGACCATAATGGACTAAATCTCTGAACTGGAAGTCACCCCCAATCATATGTCTTCCTTTATAAGAAACGGTCTGATCATGGTGTCTCTTCACAGCAACAGAAACCCTAATTAAGACTGATTTTTTTTTTAAGTATAACTTTTTTTGGATTATTTTGTTGATTTGTCAGTTTGGTATTGGTTTTCAAGACAGAGTCTCTCTACATAGCCCTGGCTGTCCTGTAACTCTCTATGTAAACTAAGCCGCCCTCAAACTCACAGAGAATCCCCAGCCTCTGCCTTCCAAGTGCTAGGAATAAAAGTGTGTAGCACCGTGACAGACCCAAGTACATTATTTTTTAGATAACCATAAAGATGTATACTTAGGACTCTGAAAAACTCCAGGATTCCTTAAGCGTTCCATTGGCATTGCTGAACATGGAGAGAACAAGCCATTGCCAGATATCCCAAATAAGTTCACAGTATGTTTCTGAACTGTTTTCCACCTCAGAGTGGAGCTGTGTGGCCACGTGAGCATGCGGGGGTGAACCACTTAGCCCCTGCGGTGGTTTGAGTGAGAATGGCCTCCAGAGGCTCATACATTTGAGTATTTGATCCCCAGCTGATGACATTGTTGGGGAAAGATCAGGTGTGGCCTTGTTGGAGAAGGTATGCCACTGGGGGAGGGCTTTGAGGTTTCAAAACCCTCAACAGGCCCAGTTCTCTCTCTCTCTCCCTCCCTCTCTCTCTCTCTCTCTCTCTTTCTCTCTCTCTCTGTCTGTGTCTGTCTGTCTGTGTGTGTGTGTCTGTATCTGTGTGTCTGTGTCTGTGTGTGTGTGTGTGTGTGTGTGTGTGTGTGTGTGCATGAGCATGCTCATTTCTTTGTTTGTGGATCAGGACGTAAGCTCTCAGTTAGTGCACCAGTGCCATGCCCGCCTTCATGCTACCAATGCTCCCTGCCATGATGACCACCGCCCTTCCAAACTGTAAGCCCCCAGTTAACTCTTTCTTCTATAACTTGCTTTGGTCATGGTCATGGTATCATAGAGTTCCCGGCCACAGGAAAAGGACCATAGAGTCAATCCAAGTATAATTAAAAGATTTATTAATTACTGCTAGCAGGACAACAGTCTTTGGAGCCAATGTTGAGATTGCCAAGCAAAAGGAAGAGGGGGGAGAATTTTTACAGTTGAGCATCTGCACAAGCAAGCGAAGGCTATCCACTCTGCCAAGGTTAGGTAGCAAGGCAACTTCAAAAGTCCTTCAATGTCTGCGTAAGCGGTTACAGAAGTCAAAAGGTAGTCACAGCATAACAAGAACATGTGGTGGCTGTACATTTTTGGGCTGGGGAAGGGTCACTGAGGCAGCATTACTGGGCACTTATCTTCCAGGAACTGTAATCAGAGACACTCAGCTAGTGGGTACCAAGATGGACGCCACAATGGCGTCACAAACGTGACTGAGACAGCGACACAGCCTATAATTCCAACAGTTTGGGAAGTAGAAAAAGGTGATAATTATATACAAGTACAAATTTGACAAAAAAATATATAAAATTCTTGTTGTTGTAGGTTTTTGTTGCTATTGTTTTTTGCTATTGGTTATTGTTGTTGTAGTGGTCCTGGTTGTCCTGGAACTCTCTTTGTAAACCAGGGTGGCCTTGAACTCAGAGATCTGCCTGTCTCTGCCTCCAGAGTGCTGGGACTAAAGATGTGTACCACAATTCCCAGAGACAGATAAAAGCATAAGAAAGAGAGAGAGAGAGAGAGAGAGAGAGAGAGAGAGAGAGAGAGAGAGACTGTAATGAGGTAATGAGCCAGGACCCATCCCTGTATCACTGACTTTTCTGGGGACCTCTTTTTCTCCCAATCCCCTGATTGAATCTATATAACATATCTTTAATGAGATCTCCAACTCTGCTTCTAGCTGGAGAACAGCTCAGCAGTCAAGAGCCATGTCCTACTTTCTCAGAGGACCAGAATTCAGTTCCCAGAACCAAACTGGAGTGATTCACAATTCCAGCTCTCCAGCTCCACGGGATCTGAAACCACAAGCACCTGTGCCTGCATGCACACATCTAGATGCACGCATACAAACAATTCAAAATGAAATAAAACTTAGATTAAGAACATGGTGGCACACACCTTTAATGACAGCATTCGGAAGACAGAGACAGGCAGATCTCTGAGTTCAAGGGTAGCCTGGTCTACTTTAATGGTTCCAGGCCAGCCAGCACTACATAGTAAGACCCTGTCTCAAAATAAATAAATAGGGGTTGAAGACATAGTTCAGCAGTTAAGAGTACTTGCTGTTCTTAAGAAGACCTGAATTTAAATACCAGCACAGCTAAGAACAGGGACTGGAGAGATGGCTCAGCAGTTAAGATTACTGTACTTGCTGCTCTTACAGAAGAGCTGGGTTCAAATCCCCATATCCTAGAACAACTAAGAACTGTCTGTACCTCCAGTATCAGAGGATCTAGCACCCTCTTCTGGGCTTCTTAGGTACTGCATACATGCACCTAGTACATACACACACACACACACACACACACACACACACGTACATGCACAAAATACCTAATTTTCCTTAATTACATGACAATCTTGGGACCAACCTGGACTACATGAGATCCTGTCTCAAAGAAAACAAAACACACACACACATACAGTATTAAAGGGGGTAAACATTAAAAAAAAAATCTAACTCTACAGACATTTAAAAACAAGAGATAAATGACGGTGGGGCAGAGTGGTACTTATCCGTAAAAGGCAGAAACAGGATGAGTTCTATGAGTTCAAACACTAATGAGTTCAAAGCTAGCCTGGTCTATATGTGGAGTGAGGCGCTGTCGGTAAAAAAATGTTAAAAAGTCATTGATAGTTCAATGGTCAAGAGCACTGGTTGCTCTTCCAGCGTTACTGAGTTCAATTCCCAGCACCCACATGATGGCTCACAACCATCTATAATGAGATCTGGTGCCCTCTTCTGGCCTATAGGTATACATGCAGGGCATTCATACATAAAATAGAAATAAATAAAAAATTTTAAAAGGTGATTGACAACTTGGTAGTATTTACAACATGTATCATAGACTGTTTCCATACATCAAAAGTTCTTCCAAAACCAGTTTTACAAAGATTTATACCAAGTTTAGAAGTAAGCTAAAAAGCCAGGTTCACCCTAGTAGACCAGGCCACTTGGGAGGCTGGGTTAAGAAGACCACTTAATCCCATAAATTGGAAGCCAGTCTGGCCCGTGTGGTAAAAATTAAAAATCAAAATCCTTAGGCACTGGGTTGCATCTCCAGTAGCGATACAAGAAATGGGAGTTTGGAGGAGACTACAAAATATGGATAATGGGCACTGTGAACTGACATTCATCCCCCCCAAAGAAAAGCCACATCCATGTTAAAGATTCTAACATCTGATTGGCTAATTAGATTACATAATTTCATAACTGTGGTTTGGAATCAAATTACCTTGGGCTATCTTTAGTCTTAATAGCCTGTCACTGTACACACCCTGATTGACATAAAATTTTTACGACTGTCAGGTAAATCATTTTAGAAAGGACAAACAGACCCTACACAATTTCCTGGCTTGCTATAACCAGCTTGGTATCATCTGTGTTGCAAGTGACTTATGAATTATCTTGCTCTGTAACTATCAAAACTTTACAAGACGTTTACCATGTTGGAACATGATCTTTGAGTAAAATCTGTATTCCCAGATCATGGTTGTTATGGTAAAAAATAAAATGCCACAGGTCCCTGAGGGGCGCAGTGGCAGATACGCTGCAGGTCCCAAGACCACAGCGGACCATGAAGGCAGCCGGGTCCCAGGCAGGGAGCCAGGCCAGCAGGTCCTAGGCACACAGCCTCATGGTGGATGAGAGACCTAGATGGGTAGGCACACCATGCAGAGTGAGGTTGGATACTTATTTATTGGGTTATGGAGGGGAAAAGGAAAAGGGGAGAAGGAAGAAGAGCAGAGAGGGAGGAAGAGAGAGAGGGGAGAGAGAAAGAGGGGGCTCAGGCTAGAAGCAGAAGGAAGATCTGACTGCCTCAGTGGCCAACTGGGGATGAAGTGGGCAGGACTTGTTTCTTAAAGGGACAGGACAGACCATTACAATGGTCCCTCACATTTAGTTCCAGAATAAACTTCTCTTCCCTGGAAGGTGAGAACCTTGGTGGTGGTTGTTGCTGTTGTCATTTTGCGTGTCACCAATAAAAATATTAAAACCACCTACCCTTCTTAGTAACTGGGAACTTACAATTAAAGATGCCGGTTTCAACTATCAAACTCATAAATTATACCGAGTGACTTCTGTCTTAGACTGTAGTCAGTCTGTAAATTATTTTACACCAAACACATTGTTTCTGTGCTTGGATTTAATGTTAGTAGAAGCCCCACATGTATAAAACCAAGGATCTCTGTGAGTTCAAGGCCAGCCTGGTCGGCAGCCCGAGTTCCAGAGCAGGCTCCAAAGCTACAGAGAAACCCTGTCTCGAGAAAAACCAAAAAGAAAAAAAGGGAACCACCAAGTTTACCAGGGACACTCTGTTCCCGGTCCTCTCCCTTCCTGGCACTGCCACTGGGAGCAGGTTTAGCTATAAATTCCTTCTCTGGTCGCTACTCCAACTTTTCAGCACGCATGCGCAGACCTGGTGCCCCGCCTCCACTCCTGGGCGCCCCCCCCACCACGCTCAGAGCACGCATGCGCACACCTCGCGGCCTAGTGCCCCGCCTCCAGCCCTGCCAGTGGTCCCAGGAGGCCCCGCGTGGTTTCCATAGCGACACCGGCGCTTCCTTAGGTCCTGGGTTGAGGCAGCTGCGGGAGCAGCGCGGAGCAGGTAACGGCCTTGGCGCCGCAGTGGTCCCCCGCAGTCATGGTCCGGTCAGCCGGCGCCGGTCTCCGCGGAGCCGCACGACAAGCTCCTCCCCGGGGTCCGCCTTGTGGGTCCCCTCGCCCGTTCGGGCCTCCCGCCTCGCCTTACCTCGGCCGAGCTGGTAACGTAGCCCCCGGCGCCTCCCTGCCCAGGAAGTGCGGCCTGCACACACTGGAACATGCGCCACCCGGGGTCCTCGAAGTCGTGGTCTTCGAAGTGAAGAGAGTGCGTGTGGGGTCCGAACCTCGGTGCCCCTTTCCCGGCTTCCAGAGCATCGTTATCCCGAACTCCGTTGTGCATTACCGCCCCGCTGGGTTGCTTTCCTTCCAACTCCGTGGGCAGTCCATCTTGTTTTCCGCCCACTACTCAGACTTGGGACTCTTTGTCAACCCAACTTCCCTCGGGTGCTTTACAATTACCTTGGCAACAGTTAATTCGTTTCCGGCCAGCTTTTTGTTGGCCCTAGAGAGATAACATTGAACCTGTTTTCTGTTTGCACGAATCCCTTGGATGGATTCATCCAGTTCCAGAGACTCAAAGCCCACATGAATGCCAGTGAGCCCAAAGTGTGTCTATTCAGCCCGGCCCCTTCTCTGAACCTCAGCCGGGCGGACTCAGCCGCAGCTTGCTGCTGTCTTACTAGGTGTCCAAGGTGCCTGATAAGCCCGCAGCCAGGCTCCACCCAGTCGCTGGAAATTCCGTTCTTCCACTTCGTCAGGCCTTGGTGTCTAGTGACTCTGTCAGCACTCCCTCTCACAATACACCCAGCACATTCTTAGTTGTACCTTCTTCCCAACCCCTGCTACCGCCACGTCAGTCCCCAATTATTTCAGTAATTTGGTTGTTTTCCCTGATATGCCCTTTCTCTACTTGAGCATGGTCATTCATTTTATACCAAAAAAGAAGGTTTTGTGGAACTTGTAAATTTATGCTTCCCAAAGGTACAAACAGTATATTTTAGGCCGGGTGGTGGTGGCACAGAACTTTAATCCCAGCACTTGGGAGGCAAATGAAGCAGATATCTGTAAAGTTCAAGGCCAGCCTGGTCTGGTCTACAAAATGAGTGTCAGGGCTACACAGAGAAACCCTGTTTCAGAAAACTAAAACCAAAAAATCCAGTATTTTAGTATATATTTTTGAAAACTCCCAATTTTAAGGCAAGACTACCTAAGCATGGTAGGACTGACACAGAAGGGTTTCTTAAGAGCTGGACTCTTAGGGACCCCGTTAGTCCCTGGTTTAAACTGTGGGGAGAACTTTAAAACGGACTGTACAGAAAAACAAACCCCAGAGCTCCTCCCAACCCTAAGCTCTCCTTCTATCCCCATGCCTTCTCTCCCAGGCTCCTTAACAATGGAGGCCCTCAGGTTCAGTGCCGGTTTCCCGTCTCCCCAGACCCTGACATCACTTCTTACTATTACTAGTTTAGCCCCAGCCCACCGTGCACAAGCAGGGCCTCTCAGTAGACTGAACAGGAACCTCGTCCATTGTAAAGCAGGGTGCCTCCGCCCTTCACCCCACACCAGGTAAACTGCCCAGCCTTGATGATGCCTCACGTTGCTAGCAGCACCTTGGTTCAGGCGGCCACTGCATGTCAGTCAGCTTCCCACAGCTAGACCCAGTACTGAAGATAGTCAACTTATAAAGATCAAAGGTCTGCTTAGAGGCTTCAGGCCAGGGTCAGTTGACCCTGTTGCTTGAACCTGTGGTAAGGACCACAATCCCTATTGAAGCCATGTTCCAGGGACCTAAAGTCTCCGTTATGTAGCCTCACAGAGTTAGATCTTTCCTTTCAGACAGAACAGACCCCTGAGACTGATTTATTGTCCACATAGGAGTCTTTCCCAAAGCAACCTCATTTCGTGACACATCACATGGTTCCTGGCACGTGACATGTGGGAATAGTGCCTGGAATGAGTGTCCACTGCATACAGGATTGATTTCTCTGCTAGGTGCTCTAGGACAATTTCACTGACATAGAAGGAAAATTATCGTAAAAAATAAACACTGGGGACAAGTAAAGTTAGGGGAGTTAGAAATAGACATTTCTCTGATGACCATACCAGCTTCCTCTGCGCAGGACATTCCACTGTAGTACCACCACTTGGTGGAAACAGAGAGGCTGGGCCTCCAGCCCTGACGGCAAGACTGTTGTGTCCATGAATTCAAAACTAGGTAAACGCTTGCAATTGGTAAATATTCAAAACCCACATGTAAGCACCCAAAAGCTAGTCTGTAGCCACCCAAAGGCTCTGGAACTTGACACTTCTCACATTGCAACTCTTGAAGAGAGAGAGAAATGTGTGTTTCACTGATGGAATTTTTTTGAGATAGGATCTCAATATGTAATTCTGACTGGCCTGAAACTCATTATGTAGACTAGACTGGCCTCAAACCCATAGTGGCCTCAAACCCTGCCCCACTCCGCTTGCAAAATGCTGGGTTAAGTTGTGATCCACTATGCCTGGTTCACTTGTAGATTTAGAGTTGGGCCTTAGAAGTCATTGAGAAATCAGCTAATTTCTTGCCTTAGCAGATGAGGCTAAAGAGCTACTTGTATTAGCAAAGCTGGAGTATAACCCCAGATATCTTGCCATGTCTCTTTCTCTCTTTTTTCTGTCTCTCAATGTTAATTCTTAATTTCCCTTGTCAGTGTTTAGAGTTCTCAAATTTCTATATCAAAAATGAGATACAGTATTAGAAGATACTGTGTTTGGAACAGCTTTCTTTAAAAATCCTCAGATCCCGGCCCTGCAGTCCGGTGTAGTGCAGTGTGTGTAAGCTCAGGGAAGAGCCTTTCCGGCCATTCTCCCGCTGTTCCAGAACGTGCTCTGTCTTCTGCCTCATCTACTAAAGGGTTGCTTTACGAGTTCTTTATAAAGTAAGGAAATTAGCAGCTTGTCACGCATATTGGAACTAATCTCCTGTTTGTAGCACGCCACTTACATTTTGTTTGCTGTTGCTTCCATTTCAGTCTGGGCTTTATGCCTTGCCAAATCTTGTGCGGTTTTTTGTTTGCTTGTTCATTTTGTTTTTGTTTTTTGTTTTTTTGGGGTTTTTTTGTTTGTTTGTTTGTTTTTTGCTTTTTGAGACAGGGTTTCTCTATGTAACAGCCCTGGCTGTCCTGGAACTCATTTTGTAAACCAGGCTGGCCTCAAACTCACTAGATCACCACCTTATTATTTTCAGAGAATTTTAAAGAGTTTTGAAGTTCTGTGTGAGTGTTGGTATGTGCATCTGAGTACAGTACCCACAGACGCCAGAAGAGGGCATCAGATCACCTTGAGCTGGAGTATGCGCAGTTATGAGCCTCCTTGTGCTTGTGGTGCTGACACTTGAACTTCTGTCCTCTTCAAGAGCAACAATTGCTCTTAACCACGGAGCCATCTCTCCAGTCCCATCTCCACCTTCATTTTAAGAAGGACCTTCCACTGAACCTGGAGCTCATCAATCAACTAGACTGTCCGGCCAGCAAGCCCCAGGGATCCTCCTGCCTCTGCCTCCCCAGTGCTAGCATTGCAGACATGAGCCACCAGGCCCAGCCTTTTTCATGAGTGCCAGGAGTCAGAGCCCAGATCCTTATGCTCGTGTTAGAGCATTGTACTAAGCCATTGCCACAGCCCCATCTTTCTCAGTGTCTTACAAAGTGCTCTAAGGATGCATTTCTGCTCCCTGCAGTTAATAAATAAGTTACCTCTCGTTTCCAGTATTTATACCTTTGGTTTCTTTCTCATGTGTGATACTTTAGTTGTGAGCCTTGCCTTTAACAGCTAAACCATCTCTCTGATTCCATTGTCTAGAGCCTGAAGAACAATATTAGTTACAGATAGAATCTGATTCCATTGTCTAGAACCTGAAGAACAATATTAGTTACAGATAGAAGGTATCCTTTTCTTTATCCTTGTGCCAGCTTGACATCTCATTTACCACATTGAGGAAGATTTCATTTAGAGCATTTTCAGCTGGGCTTAGCAGTAGTGAAGGTTTATCAGAAATAATGAACATGCATACAGAAATTAAGAAAGTACAGAAAAACTAAAAAGAAACATATTTGATCGTATTTATTGAACACTCGGTATCCCTAAGACTTCTTCTAGACTCTAGAGGTATCACATTAGGTAAAGCAGTCATCATATCGTCCACAGTGAAACATAAAGTACCATGTAAGTAAGTAAGTAAGGACTGGTGCATGCTGCACTATGATCTGCACTAAAAAGACAGGCAGTGCGGATGGAGTAAGGAAAAGGGAGATGTGCTGAGCCGTTATTTCCCACTGACATGGAAGCTGAGACACAGCAGGCAAGCAAGGGTGCTGAACACTAACCTTCCCTGGAAAGAATCCAGAGCATTGGTCCCACTGAGCTTGCCTGCCAGGGCATATGATATAGGAATGTGCAGAAAGAGCATTTGAACTCTACAGGCATGACAGTTGCCTCTCCATAGAATAATTTCTGGAAGATACTGTACATATGAATTAGTAATCACTTCAGTATATGGTATTTGGATTTTTCTCACATGGTCCTGGATGGATCCCAAGCACTGGGGAAGCAGGGAGAAGTTATGGTTGTAATACTAATAATGGTCAGAAATTTTGTAAGTCATGAGACCTACTGAGAACCATGTGTAACAATCACCACCCAATATCACTGCTTCTAAAATAACACCAAGAGCCTACCAGTCATACCAAGATGCCTTTCCTTTGATGTTTTGTCATCTATAGTAACACATAATGCAATAATTTTTTGTTAAACACCAGAAAAAGGAACAGGCATGTTCTCATATGACTCTTTGGATTCTTCCTTCCACGCAGCTGTCTGATGTCACAGCCAAGCATTCCCCAGTCAGTGCCGTGTTCCTGACAGGAGCAGCTTAGGAGAGAGGAAGACTGATTTGGCTCCCAGTCTGAGGGACAGTCATTGTTGGGGAAGGCATGGCAGCAGGAGCACGAAGCCTTGGTCACATCGTGTCCGTTCAGGAAGCAGAGAGAGCGAGTCCTGGTGCTCAAGTAGCTTTCTCCTTTTTATCCACCTGTGTGATGGCGGCTCTCCACCTCAACGAACATAATCCAGAAATCATGTCTAGAGCTTTGTCAGCTAGGTGACTCTAGATCCTGCCAAGCTGACAATCAAGAATGACTGCAGCTGGGGATTGAGACCATGGTTAAGAGCACTGGCTACTCTAGAAAAGGACCCAAGTTCAGTTCCAAGCACTCATATGGTGGCTCACAACCATCTGAGACTCCAGTTCCAGGGAATCTGATGCCTTCTTCTCTCCTCCAGGGACACCAGGCATACAAGTGATGCAGGCAGAACACCCATACACAATCAATTTTTAAAAGAAGAGTAACTACAACTCTTTGGAAGAAAAAAAAAAGACCTCAATGTACAGTAATCTATAGTGCAGACAAACATAGTATCTCAGTTACTTTTCTTTTGGTATGAGGAAACACCATGACCAAAGCAACTTAAAAGGATGGCATTTAATTTGGGGGCTTACATTTCCAGAGGATTAGAACTCAAGGTAAGGAGCGTGTCAGCAAACAGATAGGTGTAGTACTGACACAGTAG